CCCGACATGTCAGGGACATGATTAGGTCAATTTTATAAATTTTTTAATATAAAATTAGGAAAATTTTTGATAGATGATTATTTATGATTTGTTAGCACTAATAATACAAAGTACATCTCTAAGTTATCTTGATACAAAAAATAACCACTCCTTGAATTTAAAATAATTCACTTGTAAAACTTAAAAATGAAGCCAAACAAAACAAGTATTCACTTTATTGAAAAATTAAGAAGTTTAAAAACAAATATATAATTTATACTTTTGCAATATTTTAATCAATGTGTCCAATGCATCTATGTCTCACTTTTCTCAATATTTGATGTTGGCATGTCCACGTCGTGTTAAAAAATAGGCTAACAAGCAAATCCAGACTAAATTCACAAACACGCATTACATTATATGCTAATGCAATATTTACAGTGGCATATATCATCCATGTCTGCATATCTAATATATATGTTAGCATTTCTTTTACTTCATTTGAATTTTTTAGATCTATCTATAAATTTCTCCTTGCTTGACTGAGAAAGATAAGTTCCAAAGAAAAATGAAATTGATGGCTGGAATAATTAGCCTTTGTTTCGGATTCCTTCTTAGTTGCTAAAATTATGAGTTGGTAGAAATGAATGGTAGCTAAATTGGTAGCAGGTGTGTGTCACACGAAATATGTCATTAAAATCAATATTTGAAAAGTATTTAGCAGCTTTTAAGGAAACCCAATCAAAGGTTTAGTTTCATTACAGGAAGAGTCTGTATAAGAATTGCGTTGAGATGTAGTTTAGTGTTGTATATTTTCAAATGAATTTGATAACTTTAAACCTCCATGTGGTACATAAATTAATATTCCTCTCTATATATTGTCGTGTTATCTCAGCTAAGAGTAGTTGACATATTAATTCGAGGGTTAAAATGGAGTAAACTTCTTGACCCTAACAAGAAAGGCCAGTGGTGGTTGTCTGGGGATATTGATTCTTCGACACACANAATGGAGTAAACTTCTTGACCCTAACAAGAAAGGCCAGTGGTGGGTGTCTGGGGATACTGATTCTTCGACACACAACATTGAGGAGGTTGCTAGCACAATTGATAGAGAGGTCTCCGAAACGCAAAAAATGCTACAGCTCGCTGCAGCACAAAGGATGAACACAGATGCAAGGAAAGCGATATTTTGTGTGATAATGAGTGGAGAGGACTATGCCGATGCTTTCGAGAAACTTCTGAGATTAGACTTGCCCGGGAAGCTGGTTAATATCTCCATTTTGCCTTCTTATTGTTTATCTAATGTTTTTACTAATTCGACTTATCTTTATTGTGTGTATTTTAGGATCGAGAGATCATGCGAGTTCTTGTGGAGTGCTGTTTACAGGAGAAAGTATTTAACAAGTACTATTGTATTCTTGCTTCCAAACTATGCAACCATGACAAAAACTTCAAGTTCACTTTACAGGTATGACATTTCCTTTCTGGGGCCAGCATTTCTGGAGCAGTAATTATTGGCATCTTTAATGTACTTGTCACAGTTACATTGGACCAGAGAATTGAAAGATTGACAGATAAAGAATGTAACCTGCATCAAATCAATTACAAAAGAACATATAAATAATAAGTAGTCTCATTTTTATTTTTATTTTTTTGAAAATAAATGAAAAATTTGCACCTTTTTTGGCTTCTTTGAAAAAAGAAAAGTCTGCACCTCTGCAAAATGTAAACACAAACCACCAGTCTCCTGATAGTACCCTGCTTTTGTATGGTGTATTGGAATTTCTTATATGTACTTAGATCAATGGGCATATAAGGTTTTAATATGTAGGAATGGAAGAACTTTATTTGAGGCTTAGTGTGCTCGTATTTAAATTATTCCAAATTATATAAATGCTTGTGCACATTTAACATTGAAATAGTGGCTTAAGATTTCACATTACGTAGAAGCATAAGCATAAACCGTCTCAAAAGCTAAAGCTGTGAATAAAGTCAAATTGGAGTGCAAAACAAAAACTGGAAAATCTAACACTAGGAGCTCTTATATAAAAGATGCTCTTCTCAACAATGAATTGGCTTGAACATGATACCATTTGGAAATAGATCAAATGACGGTGAAAAAGACTGTGCTGCAATTATAATTTGTAAACTTTGTTAACATTGTAATAAATATCTCAAATAATTAGTGTTTATTATGTACTATGAGCAGGTTGTATTCTCAACATTTTTCTGATCTTGGAGTAAAAGATTTGAGAGTAGAAGCAGATTCAAGGGCATGCATTTTGGTGCTAAATATAGTGTCAGACAAGTAACAGTAGCTTATTAAAACCGTCTCCTTCCCACTCTCCCTTTGGGATAATAGTGTGATCCATTTTTTCTTGAATTTTTTTATGGTTTCTCAATCCAATCCCTTGTTTTGTAACTAATCCAAAATTAAGACATGCGCATTCAGTGCGTGTTTTGGTACACAATATTGATTTGGACTGGACCATAAAATGACAAGATTTTAACTTGTCTTTCTTTTTTATTCTTTGAAATCTTATCCAATACTACGTACCAAACTTGCATTAAATATATAGCAGGTTGCTAATAGTTGGACACTAAACTGTGTACACCTGCAAAACTGGTGCAAATGTCCATTTTGCATAATAAATTGTTAACAATCAAAGCTTGATACATTAAATTTCCGCTTTCCCTTTCAACAATGAATGCCATAAAACATGTTGAAAGCAATCCAATCTCATTTGTTAAGCTAACTAATGCTCACCTAAATAAGATTGGAATACTAATGGATTCGATCAAATCTATTCTTGAGCGCAACACTGAAAAGAGGAGTTTTGAATGTCTGAGTACTGTTGGATTGAATCGTTATATTTTATGTAGCCGACCTCAGTTTTATCTGGAATGAGGATTACTTTGTAGTTTTTCTTGGTTTTAATCTTTATGCATAACATTTTAACATGGTAGTATCATTTAATGTTTGCAAGCACGTGATAGAAATTGCTAGCATGTATGTGATGATTTATATCAGTGCTATTCATTTTGTGACGAGCAAGTCATTCAGCTTTTGCTAAACCATTTGTTTTTCCCATTCATTTGTGGTATTTTCTCTTTCTCCTTCTCCTGTGCAGTTTTGTGTGTGGGACCATTTCAAAGAACTGGAGGCAATGCAGCTGCAAAGATCAATGCATCTATCAAAATTTGTTGCAGAAATGATTGCATCTTTCAGCCTTTCCCTAGCAGTCTTAAAAGTTGTTGAACTAAACAACCCCATACACTTGACTCCAAAGAGGATTATGCATTTCCGAATGCTATTTGAAGCAATCTTGGAGTTTCCAGATAAGCTTGTGTGGAACATTTTTACACGTATTGCTGTCACCCCCGAGTATGAATCCCTTAGAATTGGAATCAATTTTTTCATCAGCAAGCATGTGTTGAGTCTCAGCAAGTCCCTAGTTAATAAATACAAGCTGGCAAAGAAGGCCCTTAACAATGTTGAAGGTGTTCTCATGTGAGTTGGGCTGTTGCATTTGACTTTTTGACATTGAGATCAATTTTGTTGTTCCGAGTGAAACTGTGTTCTGAAGTATATTTATTTAACAAATTCAGAGTCTTATATGTATTGTCGGAACTGATTGCTCTTTCGTCTAGTTGGATAGAATAGATTTTCATTTTGATAAACTATGGTGTAACATTTTTATCCCGTCTCTCTAGACGCCACTGTTTGCCTTTCTAGGTGAGTTTTAAGTTCTTTTCTTTCTGGCAACAGCCTTGCCATTGTTTTTGGCTTTTATATGCACTTTTCATGTTCGTTTGAGAGTTTGGAAATTATTCTCTCGGATCTGTCCAAACTTGTGTCCAGAAGGGGGCAAAACACTCACAGAGAAGGCTGTCATACTTGAGGTGTAGAGTTCTGCCACCATAGATAATTTAAGGGTTATGCTACTTAGTCAGAAAGTGGCTAACAAATGGAGTGACTTTATGATAGTTAGCCAAATGTGATTGGATGGGAAAGTTGATTGTGTTTAAAGTAGTCCAATGATGAAGTGTCATGTGACATTATGTCAACTAATGTCAAGGATTATATCGCTGCAACATGATTCTGTAATGTAAATGCTAAGATCTCGAACAAGGGGACCCCACTGACCAGCAGAGGTTGATCTTAGCAAGCAAGCAGCTGGAGAATGGAAGGACTTTTGGCTACCGTGACGGACACAGACATTTTGAATTAAGGGTACAATCCAACTTGCAAAAAGTTGAGGAATTTTGCATTAAAAAATTTACATCCAAAAAAAATATACCCCATTCAAATTTTACATTTGAAAATTTACATGTATGGTTTTTTTGGATGTAAAATTTCTAAAAAATTTCATACCATACCCTATGTAAAATTTCATAATAAAATGATGTAACTATATAGAGAAATGTATCGCGCAAAAATAATAAATCTTAATTAAATAAATTTAGAGCTAGACAAAACTCTCGAATCGATTTGAATTGAACTGGACTTGAATCGAATTGAATCGAACAAAGCGGTTCTTCTTAAGTTAAATACCTGAAAGAGTATTTGAATCGAGAATAGAAGGGTTTGGTTCGGTTCGGTTCGGTTCGGTTGTGTTCTCGATTCTAGATCAACAACCAAAGAGCCGAACCTCCTTAATTTTTTTTAACTTTTTTTATTTTAAATAAACCAAATTATTTTATTTTTTTCTAAATAAATTTACTAACTAATTAATTTATCGGCTAATCAAATTGACATAAGTTTTATCCAAATCTCTTATTTTACTGTAGTGCCATGTCTGTCGTTTTGGAAAAATCGAATTCGAAACGAAGCATTATTGTGAGCTCGTTATCTTCATTTTCCTATGATTTTAACCGTAAAATCTATGATGAACTCAACAAAGAGATGCACAAAAGATATTATGGGATTCGATTACGTGATTTTGTAAAAGCTAAGATTGAACACGTCATTAGTTGAATTAATATAGCGTTTTTGTAAATATTAAAAAAATAATTATTGTACTGAAATCGGGAATCGAATCCGAACGATTTCATAATTAAATTTGGACTCTCACAAGCCATAACATTGGCTCAATTGGCTGTTTTTCGCATCATTAACGACGTAAAAAATTAGGCCGTGAACACTTCAAAATAGTATTAAGAATGCAATATTTCAATTGTGTTTGACATCACATAATGTCTTCAAAAATTGAGATAAAAACATAGAAAAGTTGTGGGTCGCGTGACCCCATGCCGCCCCTTGTGTCGTCCCGTTTGGCTGATTACAATATCCAGAAGGATTCCACCCTTCACCTTGATCTTCATCTCCAAGGCGGTCTCTGAATTTATCTTACCTTTCACTTCTCTCAGTCATGTTCCAAAGTCCATGCTCACTGAAGCAGCATGTTTTTACCTCTTAATGGTTGGTCTTCAAGATATTTAATGTATATGAAGATTTTTGTTGCTGTTTTAGCTTATGAATAAAAATTTTGTTTAAAGCTTACTGATGCTAGCAAATCGTGGTATTAAGTAGTGGCTGTTGAACTGCAGTTCAGTTGCAATACATGTAATGCTTAGCCCATTAGGCATTATATTTTCTTGCTTGTATTGCCACATAATCACAATAAAATCCCCATAAATAATAATAGTAGGATTTAAATTATTATTATTTTTTATTTTAGCCGAATTATTTAATACTAGCTTTCCAGCCTGTCTGGAGAAACTTTTTGGCAGGATTTGCATCAGAATTCTTATCATTGGGCCGCAATAATTGACTGCCACTCTCTCACGCGGGCCCCACTAACGGTCCTTTTTCTGATTTTCATCCATGGAAAATCCGGAATAGACACAGCCTTCGCGCGCGCGTGTGTGTGTGTGTTTTTTTTTTTTACCAAATGACGTGTAAGACTCGTAAATATAGAATTTGTGGATATGGTTGAAAGTCTATTTATATGTACACATAGAAACTCAAAGGTTAAAGACTACATACATAAAAACATCAATGTTAAATTATTTTTCTTGCCTACTAATAACAAATTCAAACATTTACATGTCATGCTGGGATTATTTGACCACTAAAAATTCATCATTAATGTCATTTAATATTAGCAAGGGAAGATCAACAAATTCCAGAAAAATCAACATGTCGAATGCTATATATTTTATTAAAGTTGATTGAAAAATAGATGTGAAAACTGTAGGAGATATTACACTGATAATATGCATATTATATTCGTCAAGAGTATGCCGTTAATATGCGTGAAATCGAAACATCATTTGACTTACCGAAATCTGATTTGAGAAGATAAAACAACGATTTACCGATTTCGAATGTGCATGAATCTGGAAAGAAAG